CTGTGTAGTAAATTCTGCTCCATCTGAAAGCACGTGATGATGATTTCCTGCTGATTACAGAACCGGCATTACTATCAAAATGTGCATGACAATCGCATTCGATTAATCGTGCAGCCCTAAACACATCTCTCAATTTTGGACCATTCAAAGCTTGTACTTTAGCCAGAACTGGTTAATATTTATTATTATTATTATTATTATTATTATGTGAACTGAAACAGCGATGCATTAAAAGGGCCAAAGTGATGCATGAAAAGTATTACAAATAATAATGATATATGCATTTGAAGGGCCACTCACAAGACAGCGGTTTATTTTCCAGTGGGTCTGACGCTTTCAAAAACACCAGCTTCCCTCATGGCATTGAACTCCTTCGTTGAATCGTAATGTTTGTAGAAGTCAGCATAAGCCTGTTTCCTGGGCTCGGTTACTGTGAACTGAAGAAAGAAAGTATTTCTCAGATTCAAGAAAACTGTCCACTGTAGTTGTAAAATTATTTAACTCCTTTGCCCCAAGATGAAAAAAATTAAAAGGGTACAACCAAATATACAAGACTACAAATTAGGGATAATCTAATTACATTTAATTTGAATGACTATTAAGGATAGATTGTAACAAAAAGTGCTCTTAAAAATTGTTGTTGATGTCGGAATTTAAGAAACATTTTGACCCAAGCAAGAGACTGAAGTGCCAATCACAATTTTGAACAGCACTGTAGACCACAAAGGTCTAATATAGCGCATATGATCAAAAAACAACAAAAACTGATTGATCAACACAATAACACTGACCTTGAAGGCGGCTGCTGCAATGAGGGAGAGACCGAATGCGATGGGCAAATGAAACCTCAAACGCTTGGCAAGGAGGCCTCTCATCGCTGGCTTTGGAAGTGACATTTTGACTTCTAGAAAGAGATGACAATAATGGGACATTAATAAAAGAAACTGCATACACTTATAGTCAAGTTGTCGATAACCCTTCCGCACTGCTACGTGCTATTCTGACCATCACAAATGGATGTCTGACCGACTTTCAAGACAACCATACAAAGAGCCACGATTACATTATCCAATCATCTTCAGATATTGTTAAAGTGCATGTTTTATATACAAATGTGCTCTTAGGTGCAGTTCTAGATTTGAGCGGTTTAGCCAATATGCAATTTGAATATTATTTCTCTAGAAGTGATACAGCGCATGCAGACGCCAAGCCGAGTTTTCTTTTAATTTAAATTAATATTAAAAAGTTGGTGCCTTTTGAGACACGGAACGATCTGTCTACGTTAGCTAACACTAGCTAGCAATGACGACCAAACGACCAACGTAGTTCAAAAACGAGGCACGTTAGTTAAATGAAAATACTTATTTAGCGTTATGAAAAACATAACAACGTGATATTATTAAAATGTATACAGATTTCACCATAGAAGTTTTGTTATAAGCGTATAGCAAGCTCGATATTTACCGTTTAATTCACGACCTTCAGCACGCACGTCCGGTTAATTCTTCTTCTTCTTCTTGTTTTATGGTGGGTGGCATCCAACGTTAAGGTGCATTACCGCCACCTACTATACTGGAGTGTGGACCAGAGTGACTAACAGAACTTTATATAAAAAAAATAATAATAATTTTTATTAAAAAATAAAAAATCACTAAAAAAAACACAACCCATTATTAATAATAAAAATAACAATTATACTTTATATTCTTCGTCCGGTTACTCAGACAGGAAGGCGTTAATGAGGGCCAAACTACGGAAACTGACGAAGGACAAACACAGTGGGACCGATTCGAAAAAGCGCGACATTTTATTGTCTAATAAAAACAGAATATTTATTTCACATAAGCATGAATTAAATTTGTTTAAAACATCTCACACTGCTTAGCTTACAACTACCACGCATTAAATACATTGTACTTTTATTATTAAAAAAACAAAACAAAGAAAGAAAGAATACAGTGGTTTAATCATTAATAGATTAAGACAAAACATTTTTTTAATTAAAAATAATAATGCGTTTTTTAAATAATCAGGTTTTTGGTGGATTTTTAGTCTTCTACTTTTATTACAAATTATTTTACTGACTACATTAAAACATAATTAAAAATAAAAAATCTTTAAAGACAACTGATGCGTTTTAAAATAATGAATGATTCGGGTTTCAGCAACATCTGGCAACCAACGGCTTGGCTTTGACAGTCGTCTGGGACTGGGTCGGGGTTGCCATATCCCTGTAAATTATACGGCACTTTTCACTTGTTTCCTCGTCAGACCAGGTCTCTTGCTTTTCTCGCGAGTTCTGGCAACACTGGATTGGGTTACAATCACGCATCCAGATCTTCAAATAGCAGCAGCAGCGGACATCGACACAGCCGCTCGAGTCCGGAGAACTGAAACTGAAATTCAACCGTTTCTGCAGAGCCTCAGCCGGTAAAACGTGCTACTCATCCCGGCTCGCGCGTCTTCTAGAGTGTTCTAGTTCACATGCTGGTTTTTAAATACAACTGGTAACTTTAACTTTAAACAAGCGGAGCTTGAGCTCTTCAACGTTTACTTTCCGGTTTTTCAACTTCAGACGTGATTCTACAACGGTAACTTTGTTTTATTCTATAAATGTATATGTATCACAACAGTTTTACTGGCAGTGTGTAACATTGCTAAAACTAAGTTAACAGCACTTAAGGTTCACACTGCCTTTGACCGTTTCAGTGTCAACATGCCTCAGAAGCGGCGCTCGCAGTCGTGGACGGTTCTCAAACAAGCCGGTAACGAGTGCTTCAGAGCCGGTCAGTACGGAGAAGCCGTGAACCTCTACAGCCAGTCCATCCAGCTGCTGGAGAAGTCTGGTAAGGGCAGTAAAATGTAGTCATATTTCAAATATTACCATGGTAAACACATGGTAACAGTATTACCACTTAGCTAATTACCATGTTTTTGTACATGTACCATGGTATTCTTGCACTTACACGAAATGTTCCATGATGTTCTTGTTCCTTGCAATACCATGTCAGTACTATGGTATTACTTCAAGTATTTCAAAACAAATTGAGTACTAGGGGCTTAACGTTAGTGGAAACGTTCAGAGAAAAACAGTTTAAACATTTGAAAATAAATGTAAATAAATAATACATATAATAGTACAGCACTGTAGTGAGTAGGAAAAAAAGTTGTATTAAATAATAGAAAATATTTCCCCAATATTATTTTATACATATTCTGACTGCTTAGTTAGTAATACTAATAATAAAATAGAAAAATACATGAAAAAATGTACAGTGGTTAACATTAATAAAGATAAAACATTTAAAAAAAAAATATATATATATATATATAATAGTACAGCACTGTAGTGAGTCGTAAAAAAAGGGCATATAACAGAAAATATTTTCCAAATCAGATTTTACACACATTTATATTATTAATTTTCATATTATAAATTGGGTGTTTATAAATACAAATATATAACTACCTAGGGGGTCCCTTGCATGGTTAGGAATTATGATTACATATCCTTTATCATCTCACAGAACCGTGTTAGAATCTGATTGTAACATCATGGTAATGTCATATGCTAAGAATATTAATTACCATATTAATATGTTTTTGAGTGACAATGACGGTAACAATAGAGTCATCATACCAAACAGGAAGATAAGAAAGTTGCAGAGCAGCGGCAACAGAGAAATGGTTCCTCAGACTATAATAGATGTAAAGGAAGCAGTGGCACTAACATAAATAAAGACACATCAATGTTCTGTTCGCAGGTCAGAAGAACAAGGAAGATCTGGGTATTTTACACTCCAACAGGGCCGCCAGTTACCTGAAAGATGGAAACTGCAGTGAATGCATTAAAGACTGCACAACGTAAGTGCAACAAACAGCAGGTGCAAAAATGGTTAACGTGATTATGTGCAGTGTTAATAATCTTAATATTTCTCTTTTAGGTCTCTTGAACTGGTTCCGTTTGGATTTAAAGCTCTGCTTCGCCGGGCGTCAGCTTATGAAGCCTTGGAGAGATACAGACAGGCGTATGTGGACTACAAAACTGTTTTACAGATAGACTGGAACATACCGGCTGCTCACGATGGCGTCAACAGGTAATTCTGCATGATCAGGATCCAGAAGTATTATGCATGTTAATAGAGAATGCACTGATCAACCTTATAATAAAGAGGTAATACACAACATATAAGCACAAGGATACAAAAAATGTACCATGCAACACATCACTCCTTCCCTCCAGAATGACCAAGGCTTTGACAGATATAGACGGACCATCTTGGAGAGAGAAACTGCCTCCGATTCCCACTGTTCCGATGTCTGTGAAAGAAAGCCTGGCGCAAGCTGCCAGCTCGGCCCCCAGCCCACAACAAAACCGCACGATTGATAGCAAGAAAAAAGGTATTTACCTGTACCATACTGAGCGTAGCCAACATACTTCGCTTCAGCACTTGATTTTCAATTGTATTATTCTAAGCACCAGGACCTGAAGCTGCTAAAAAGGCCAAGGCTCTGAAGGAAGAAGGCAATGCGTTTGTGAAAAAGGGCGAACACAAGAAAGCCGTGGAGAAGTACATGCAGTCACTCGGTCAGGACCCCACAGAGGTCACAACCTACACAAACCGGTAAGAAATGGTACCGGTTATTATGCTGCCAAATGTCAGGGTTCCTATGGTTATGGAAAATTAATTTAACAACTGGAAAAGTCATGGACTTTAGGTTTGATAATGCGTGTAAATCAATATTGCTTGTAGGGCTCTCTGCTACCTGTCATTGAAGATGTACAAAGAAGCTATTAGCGACTGCGATGAGGCTCTTCGATTGGATTCCGCCAACATTAAAGCTTTTTATCGACGTGCCCAGGCAAACAAGGAACTCAAAGTAAGTTTAATTCTGAATAAATTGAAGTTCATTGTCTTAACTAAATTTGGTGAATTGTTTTATGAATTGCAATTTATTTACTAACCCCTTGTTTTTCTTAAAAAAAAAAAAGTTTTTCTCTATTCTTTTTATTCCTTTTGTATTCTATTTGTTTTCTTTTTATTATACAATTAACAAAAAGCAGAAAAAAGGCCTCTAACACTAGCTTGTTCTATTCTGTTTTCTGTTTATTTATTATATAATAATAAAAAAAATAAATTGCTACGTGTACTGTGTTAGACTCGTTATAGCACTTGCATATCATTGCTCTTTTGTTGATTTTGATTGCTTGCATTGTCCTCATTTGTAAGTCGCTTTGGATAAGAGCATCTGCTAAATGACTAAATGTAATAAATTTTTTCCCTAGAACAAGAAATCTGCTATTGAAGATCTTAACAGTGTGCTCAAAATCGAGCTTAACAACACGGCGGCGCAGAAACTATTGCAGGAAGTACAGAAGATGAAATAACCATGATTGTACAGTGAGGAAACTTTCCCCAAGTGCCTCGAGCTGATTTGCCTCTCAAAACTGCAACGTTTGCTACAGACTTTAGATATGCACATCATAATGCGATTTTAAATCTAGGAAATAATTTGAGTGTTCGTGTTCACATAAGCACATTTGACCGGGTGTATTGTCATTAATAAGGCAATCAAGTTTCTTTCTGAAACTCCACCTGTGTGTCTGAGATCAAACTTGTTCTGGTAGTCACACTTGTTCATTTAATTAGTCTTTAATCGAACGCTATGTTGATTTAGCATGTGATTTTAATGTGTCTTTTTCATTGCACATATAACTGACTGGCTCTTTTTCAGACTAAATTTTAATTCCCACTTCACTTTAGATTGACTCAAAAAGGCAGATAGAATTAGGGCTGCATTTTCTACAAAATGTTTTTTTTTTTTTTTTTTTTTTTTTTTTTTTATTGTTGTGGGTTAATTACTGTCACAACCAATTAATGTTTATATACATTTGTAAAGACTTGACACCTGTATTTATTGATGTTTCATATGGCATTTTGCATCAAGACAACGTAAACGGGTCTTTATTTAAATATTGTGCTGTATGCATGTGGTAATAAAAGAGAATGTTCAGGAATATTGTATTTTTTCATCCTGTAAACTGGCAGATGTAATACTATGATCAGTGATGACTTTTGTGAAGACAGTGAAGACCTAAAACAGTAAATGCTATGTATACAGGTAGCATAACTGAATGACAGCAAAACAAAGCTCTATCATGACAGATGCTGTCAATGACCAATTTCAAATTGTTCCTCAGTTTAAAAACAAAAGTTGAGTTATTTGAACAGTAAATATGCCTTAAATTGAATATACCTTTTGCAAACAAGTAATTTTAATCACAATAGTCAACTTCATGATTTGTTTGTTTGTAAAAAAAACAATCCTTTTCTGAAATAATCAACAGCATGCCACAGACGACTGAACTTAAAGAATAGTTCACTCAAAAATGAAAACATGCTGAAAATTCTTTGACCCCTCAGGTGATCAAAGATGTAGTTTGTTTCTTTATCAGAACAGAATCTGAGAAATGTAGCATTACATCACTTGCTCACCAACAGATCCTCTGCAGTGAATGGGTGCCGTCAGAATCAGAGTCCAAACAGTTGATAAAAACATCACAGAGTAATTCAGTAGTTTGGTAGTCCAAAATGCAGCAGCTAGAGTCCTTACCAGGTCAAGAAAATATGATCATATTACCCCAATTTTACAGTCTCTGCACTGCACACCAATTCAATTCATCAATTAACATCTTGTGAAGCGAAAAGCTGCATCTTTGTAATAAATCCATCAAGACAACTTTAACCTCAAACCATTACTTCTGGTCAGACAGTCTTCCATGCATAATATTGCTTTCTCCAGTTAAAACGTCATCTTGTCTGAATCAGGACAAAGATATGCACATATCAAGCACTGTTTACAAGAAAAACAGACCAAAAGAGTTCTAAACCAATGTCCGTAGGTTTTGAAGGACTTATTTTAGACTCATATTGTAACCAGAAGCAATGGTTCAAAACACCTTGATAGATTTGTTTGTTACAAACATGCAGCTTTTCGCGTCACAAGACGTAAACTGATGGACTAGTGTGGATTATTGTGTTTTTATCAGCTGTTTGAACTCTCATTCTGACGGCACCCATTCACTGCAGAGGATTCATTGCTGAGCAAGTGATGTAAATGCTAAATTTCTTAAGAATCTGTTCTGATGAAGACACATGATTTCCTGAGGATGAGTAAATTTTCAGCAAATTTGATTACAACTATTCCTTCAACTTGCATGGAACATTCCCTTAAATGCTTATTTATTAGGCAGAAACATTTACACGCCATTTAATTCTTTATAGAAGAGTGGGAACTAGAGAACGTGCTCAATTTAATGTACACCACTACGAAAAACAATACAGCGCAATTTGGAACTGATAAAACTTTTATTTCACTTTAAATTGTCTTTTAACACTTTCCTGATTATAACATGTAAGGTGAAACTAGAACGGTTTTAAAAGACACACAAATCTAGTATTACGTCAATAACCAGGTTGTATTTTTTTTGTCATTTTGTAAAAATTATTTTTTGCTTAAGCTAGTCTAAATTTTCACAACCACGTGCGCACTAAGCAATGAAACCGTCACAGAAGCTAACTTTAGGCAGAATACTGGTCAGTAAAAACAAAGCAATTGGAGATACCAGATATACAGACAGGCTCGGCTCCACATTCACTACTGTATTTTTTGTAATCAAGCGTAGAATAACTGCCATTTGTTCAGCTAAGAGAGACAGATTTCGTCTTCAGTGCATGAACATTGTCTTCAGCTCGAGACAGATGAGTTCTACACCTAAGTGGAATGTTATGGTGATGTGACAAGGTATTGTGACACTGAGTGGCTACCCCTCCTAAAATGCTTCAGGTCCTTCAACTATTTGCCAAATTCGATCTCGGCTTGTGTTTCACAGACTTTGGGCCAGGACTTCAAAGCCTCCACTGGTCTGCAGCACTTTCCTTCACAAAATTCAAGTCAAATCCAGAATTTCTCAGTTGAACTGCTAAGGTCTTACAGAAACTCCTCTCTTAGCAGGAATGAGGAGTAGAGAAGCTCAAAATCAGTCTAAGGCCCCAAAACACCTTCTGATTTACATGAAGAGGGAAATGTCAAGCATCGTCTTCTGTTTGTAAGAGGGTTGAATAACTAAAAAAAAATATAAGTGTTTTTGCAAGCATTTAGTTTCAAGACAAATTTATATTTACCTATAAAATGTTTACAATTTTACATCTTTATTAAATGGAAGTGTGGGCAATATTATGTAAAAGGGGGGAAAAAAAATGTACAGAACAAACCAGGAAAATCGTTTACTGATGTCAAACAGCACCTTTATGTTGACTGCCTCCTTGACAGCACATTAGGAAACTCTCCAGTTTGTTCACAAAAGGTCTGTAATCATGAAAGGTCACATACTGATGGAATGTCTTAAACTTAAAACTGAGTATAGACATGGAATGGCAAACCTCGGGTCCCTTTTGTCGTCGTTAGCCGTTTATGCAAAATCACGCACATGACAGCAATAATAGTAATGCATGTTAGTCAGTGTCACAATACAGCCTGTTTTCATCCCTTCTGTATGAGATTGCAACAGAATTGTACTGCTACTCGTAAGCACAAGTTATCCAGGAGGAAAAACTAAACGTCACAGTGTTTGTTAAATTAATGGAGAGTTTAATAACCTTTTGAATAAAACCAGCAATTGCCAGTACACTATTGGAGAGAAAAGACAGAGGAGGGAAAAATGGGTGGGGAGGGACATTATAACGCATTACATCCTGCTAGACCAAAGAACATATGCCTTTTAAAAATGTTAGGAGGGATTTTGGGAAGGGAAAAAGATGGAAGTAGTTTCCACTATTCAACCATTTTCCCTCGTCTGGGGGAAAATACATAAACAAGACATGTTCGAGACAGCCTTGGAAAAACCAAACTTCACCCTGCCGCTCGTGGCTTCAGGGGTACAAACTTGTAGGTTAGGTACAATTCATGCTGCTCGTCATACAGAAAGGTGGATAAAGGTGAGGTGGACTGGATGGAGCAGGGAATTATGGGCTGCATATGTGTAAGATAAAGAGTGTAGGTGGATTTAACAGTGAAGTGCAACGCCTTTAGTTCTCGCCCTCGCCAGCATCCGCCTCATCACCCTGGTTTTCTGATGTCCACAGCTGCAGAACGAAAGAAAAAAGTTAAAATGATGCAATGATAAGGCTCCAAAATGAACTTTTTACCAAACCGATCAATGGCGTAATACTAAATATTTTTTTATCTGCAAAATTTTGAGCTATTTATATTAAAACTATACTGACTCTTAGACAGGTTTCTGCAGGTTTATGGAGGTAAATTTAAAGGGTTAGTTCACCCAAAAATGAAAATTAGGCTGCGTTTTACTCACCCCTGCGGCATCCTATGTGTATATGACTTTCTTCTTTCAGACGAATCCAGTCGGAGTTATATTAAAAATTGTCTTTGATCTTTCAAGCTGTTTAATGCCACTCAGCGGGTGTTGCATGCATCAGTCCAAAAGGGGTGAGTAAAACGCAGCCTAATTTTCATTTTTGGGTGGACTAAAATGTCAAAAGTTAAATTCAACTTCCAACAAACCTTATGGTTTGAATACTTCTGCTTTCAATATGAAAATAACTTTTACAGTAACTTCTGATCACCAAGCAAAAAAGTGATGCTCTTCATCAGTATTTCTGCCTTGTTTTCCTGTGCACATATCTATGATTCTTAAATCAAGATGACAGCTAAATTACAAGCTTTATTGTATAAGTACTTGAAATGAGCTATCAACAAGGATAAAAATCGGCCGATGGGCTTAGAAAAAAATAAGATAATAATAATAAAATACTTAATTCAATGGGAAAACAAGTTTTAATACCACACTTACCAATATGTGTTGTTCTTTTAAGCATAAACTGACAAAAAATTAATATCTTCACTTTGCATCTTAAGTAAATGTATCTTGATTGACAAAACTATACCAAGGAAGATATACATTTTTATGCAGTGCATGCGATTTAAAACTTTATGCTCCGATTTAAATCCTTACTTTGTGGAAGGGCGCATTAAGACTTTTTAAGACCTGCAGTAACCCTGCTAAGAAATTAATTTAAATTCTTTAACTAAAATTTATGCTAATAATAACTTGTATATTTTAAAAAGACGGTATTTAATAAAAAAAATGCTGAATTTGTTAAATATTAATTTTGGTAGATTATTGTACGCATGTTTTGCCACACTGAGTTTTAGAAAAAAAAAAAAACTATACAAGATAAATCATCCTACACAAAAATTGTCAGAACTTGCGCAAGATGAAAAAGACATCTAAATGTTTTTGATTTTAATCGCTCACACCACTTAAGATTAGCATGGCTCAGGTTATCATTTTTGATTTAATCTATGATGAGTAATCTATATAGTCTATATTAATTCTGCATTGTTCATTTTAAAGGAGTGTTACATTTCGGGCTCTGTCTACACCTAGAAAAGCCAAAGTTGGCACTTACAGTGAGGTTGTCCCTTAGTAACTGCATGATGAGGGTGCTGTCTTTGTAGGAGTCCTCGTTCAAGGTATCCAGCTCAGCAATTGCCTCATCAAAAGCCTAGGGTGAAGGTAAACATGAGTGTCAGTTCTGTTGTCTTCCTGTACACTGGAAATGCTCATTCTAGTATTCAGTATAAACTCATTTAGTTTCACATTTCAAATCACTTTTTGAAGATATCCACTGAATGTTGCATAAATAAGATGGGATGAAAGCGTAAAGAGTACATTGCATGTACCCAAAACAGGAAAAAGTCAAACAAGCTGTAGATGAACAGATAATTGTCTAACCGTCTTTGCCAAACTGCAGGCCTGCTCTGGAGTGTTGAGGATTTCATAGTAAAACACGGAGAAGTTCAGTGCTAGTCCCAGCCTGATGGGGTGTGTTGGCTGCATTTCCTTTTTGCTGATCTCAAATGCATCCTGGTAAGCCTTCTGAGAGTTGTCCACTGTGGCTGTAATTTGAGAAGAAACAAAATCAAATTCATGACCGTCACATCACAGCCTGAATGTTTCGATGCTTTGGTTATTATCTAATTATTCACTCTTAGGAATGGACCTTAAAGGGTTAGTTCACCCAAAAATTTAAATTAGCCCATAAATTACTCACCCTCAAGTCATCCTAGGTGTATATGACTTTCTTCTTTCAGACGAATCCAGTCGGAGTTATATTAAAAATTGTCTTTGATCTTTCGCGCATTAAATATCACATGCGATTTATCGTGCAGCCCTAGCTAATTTAAATGTTTGGGTGAACTAACCCTTTAAACTTCAGCATTATCAGTTCCAATCATTTTCTATTAATCCATCGACACCCTAATAAATAGATTTAACAGATAAATTCATATTTAGGCAACATCCTTCTTGCTTTATAAAGAAAATGAGCTCACTTTTCTTTGCTTCTCCGGATGCCACCTCGGACAGGTATCTGTAGTAGTCTCCTTTCATTTTCAGGTAGAAGACTTTGCTCTCTGCCTGGCTAGCGTTGGCAATGAGGTACTTCTCCAGAAGACCCTGAGAGAAAAGAGGAAAGACCGACATTAAGCTATGAACATTAACATTACATGAATAAATGAAAAGCACTGACCATCAGAAAGAGGAAAAACTATTTTCTTAAAGGTAAAGTGTGCATTTTTGGGTCCATCCTAATTGCATTTTTCATACATGCAGTTTTTTTGTTACAAATAAAATTGATTCCTTTTGCTCTAACCATATAGTGGTCTGCCTAAGTGAAACCTATTAAATGACTGATTGCAATGCTGTGCATCATTTCATATAAAGCTTTAAACAATGATTTTGACTAAACAAAGACAATGAAAGAGAAACAACACAGTATTCTAATAAGCATACATATATATTGCACATTTTTGGAATTTGAATTTCTGGAATTTAGAATTTTGGCTAAAAAGAGTCCTTCTTTAAATTCATGTGATACTTTAACGCTATAATGCCTTAAATATTGCATAATAGACATCAGAATAATATTCCTACGTTTTTAATTCAACTGTAATTCTAAACTTAAAATTAATTGCAAATCAAATCAGGTGGAACTTCTAGAACTGTTAAATGTTTTCTTCACACGTCACGTCTCTCACCAGCACGTCGTTGCAGATCTCCTGAAGCTCAGCCTCGATCTTCTCACGGTATTCACGCGCCATCTGCTGTTTCTTCTCGTTGCCCTCCGTTTTCTGCTCGATGCTGGAGATCACGCGCCAGGACGAGCGGCGGGCGCCCACCACGTTCATTCACACTAGTCTTCAAGCAAGCAAAATTACTTCAGACCCCACAATAATGCAGAATAATGAAGCGTTTGTGTTTTTCTTTCTTGAACTCAATTAAATTAAGATTCTCTGCTGATCAACCATCTTTTTGCTACAACTAAAATTCACCAAACTTAACCTTTGGTATAATGCGGTTAAATATCTGTTCTGGTATAAGAAAAGACAGCTTGCCGAATTCGAAATGGAAGCTTGTAAGATTAATAAAAACGGCAACAACAGAAGACGATGTTTACTCGATCTCAGACTGTCTAATTGCGCGTATGATTCATCCTTTCTCCGATGCAGCCGCATTCTGAAGCACGCACATTATTTGTAATGATCATCTGTAACACTCGTTTCCATCTTGTATTTCTGTTTTTGTTCATAATAATAGTGGTATTTTTTTTATTTGTGTTGTCGCTATCACTTTTTCACACATAGAAATGCATGCATATGTACATTTGCAGAAAAGATCAAAATAGAAACATGAAAGAGATATAGTAAAACAAAGTGGCTACAATAACCAGTTTATGTTAAAACAAAAATACAACAATAAAAAAATCAAGGAAAGGCCCTGCACAAATCTGTTTTGAGACTACTTTTTAAAAGTGCATAATGATAACCTTTGACAATGTTTAATTCAGGTGCGAAAATAATTAATATCTATAGCGCATGAGCACAGAGAGATTTGAGAGTGCACAGGACACAGTTTGAGTGAGAGGAGACATGTTTTAAGTGCGCGCACTCTCTCCGGGCGAGAGCAGCGTCTATCTGAGCGCGCGCGTCCGGTTTTGTGCGAGAGCAAAGGAAATCCGCGCGCGAGCAGAGAGATTCGCGCTCGCGCATTGTATTAATGTGCTTTCGCGCTACAATAATGCGCTCTCGACATTTGTCATTAAAACAACGCCATACGAGTCTCCAGGGAAATCTGTGCAGACCTGCTTAAGGCATGTTCAAGCAGATTTATTTGTTAAGCAATAGAAGCATGTGTTGATGCTGACTTGGTCACCTATTCATAAATCAAAGACATACAGTACGCCGCTGTATATGTTGTTGTTCTTGTTAATGAAAGCTTTGCACAAAAGCTATATGACTAAGGCAAGCACCATTAATACTTCTATTTATACTTTAGGGTTAGGGACACAAACCAGTGTTATTATAGTATTAGTTATATACTACTATACTATTTATGAAATGTTTCATAATTTCAGTTTTCAATAAATTTTTTTAAATATATTTATTTTTTAGTAGTTTTAGTAATTGTAGTACTTCGGCAACATTTCTAATCTTCATTCCAACGCCCCCCACCCTATATTTAAGCTTTTATGTCAATTACCTAAAATGATTTTTAAGAGTTTTAGTTTTAGTTAATAATACTACTGACAAAAACAAACCCCTAACTCTAGTTTTAAAGGAATAGTTCACCCAAAAATTACAATTTGCTGAAAATTTACTCACCATCAGGCCATCCAGGATATAGATGAGTTTGTTTTTTTTCAGATTTGGAGAAATTTAGCATTGTATCACTTGCTCCCCAATGGATCCTCTGCAGTGAATGGGTGCCGTCAGAATGAGAGTCCAAACAGCTGATAAAAACATCACAATCCGCAAGTAATCCACACCACTCCAGTCCATCTATTAACATCTTGAGAAGTGAAAACTGCATGATTGTAAGAAACAAATCCAGAATTTTTAACTTCAAACCATTGCTTCTCATTAAAATATGAGTCCCGTATCCATAATATTGCTTTCTGCAGTGAAAAGTGGTCTCATCTGAATCAGGAGAGAAATATTCACAGATCAAACACTGTTTAAAAGTGAAAACGGTTCTAAACAAATGGATCTGATGTGAGAGATGGACTTTTTCACTGGAGGAAGCATTATTATGAATTTTTGAAATGTATTTTGATCAGAAGTGATGGTTTGAAACACCTTAATGATGGATTTGTTTCTTACAAACATGCAGCTTTTCACTTTACAAGATGTTAACTGATGGACTGGACTCATATGGATTACTTGTGGATTATTGTGAGGTTTTTATCACGATGCTCACAACACCCTAACATTGCGGCAGTGGCTTTTGCATTTTCCTCAGTTATAATATATTGTGGAAGATACTGGTGATTTAAACCTCAGAACCTTTTCACTTCAGTCCTCTTGGTTGAAATACAGGGCTGTTAAATATGTATTCAAGAAATGCACTGCCTCACAAGACACACTGTATGCCTCTCATGTTGGAGAGCAAACATAATAGTCTTGGACAATATCACACATCGATTGTTCAGCTACATAATGGAGAGAGCTGGAGATTCTTTACTATGCATGGAGAAAAAAGACTGAACTATACTACCAAATGATATAATATATATATATATAGTCTATAGCATGCCATTTTTAGTACATAATCATTCCCTGGATAGAAATGAACACGCATTACTGACAGCCAAACAATTGAAAGGAAGGAGCAAAGCACAGCAGAGTGGCATATATCATCTCAGCATGAAACATGAATGAGAAACTAGATTTGTACATTTTCTGAAGGAAAGATGAGTGGTGCCTGCTATTGCAAAACTCACTCTGTGGTTGTCAGTACGTTGCTATGCAGTTGCATGAGTGTTCTGGGTGGTTGCTAGGTGGTTGCCAGGGTGTTACTGCATTCTGAGTGGTTGTTAGTGCATTTCTAGGTGATTAATGGCTTACATTTCAGTCAAAGCATATGCAATTTTTTGGCATACGTTTCCAGTTAGTTTTTTATTATTTTGTTTTTCAGAGCATTTCTCATAATCCTTTACACCTGCAGCTGCAGCCAATGCTGCGATGTAATTATTACTTCACAAAAGAATGAAAAACGTCTCGGTTACGTATGTAACCCTCGTTCCCTTAAGGAGGAAACGGAGACGTCACGTCGGTGACCGACGAATTGGGATCTCGCTTAGAGACCAATCTACTTTGAGTGTAAACTAAATGAGCCAAAGCACATTGGCATGCGATAATTGCATCCAGGTGCCGCTGATCACAGCGTGAGCATAAAAAGGCAGCCGGTGCAACGCATAACGGGGCTGCGTTCCACTTCAGTTTTAGACACACACTTGCTAACTTCCCTAAGCACTTCCCCTCGGGGGAATCCCCGCTGCCAATCAATGACGTACATCCGAGTAAACGAGATGGAGGGAAGTTTGCAAGTGAAGGGCATAAAAAAATTAACTGGAACGCAGTCCAGGTTTTTGCTGAGGAGCCGAGCCGGTGGTGCGGTGGTACAGCAGCCGTGGCGACGGGACAGGAGCGTTGCGGAAGCCCCATCCTTCCCGAAGGAGGTTTCGGAATCACTTACACATTTGAACA